TTGTCATTAAGAAAATGTACAATATGTAGTTGAAAAATGTTACTCTGTACTCAAAAAATGTTCAAAAATGAGTTGAAAAAAAACTTAGATTGTAGCATCAAGTGGATACCAAGCATAATGAGTGGCACCCGACCTTTGCATGACTAAAATATACACAACCTTAAACGAACAGTCTAACAAATTATATGTAAAAAAAATGACAAGTTGGCAACAGTAAAGCCACATGAGTCCAAACTATGCCATTGTCGACGGAGGAGATGGACCGATCCGAAGATTATATTACCATCCATGTTGGGTAAAAACCTCCCTGGCCACCCGCTCCAACCTCATCACACCGCCTTGAACAACAATTTATACTCCGTTCAATGTAGCGTAGACCGCATACGAAGTGAGTGCGTACAACGGCGGAGACAGCAGGGGACCAGCAAGGGCCAAGGCCTGGGCCAACATGCCAAAAGTTTTTTTAGAGCAGCGATCTTTTGTTTCAGAAGTTGTGTGTTATGCTATTCTGGGCCTTGTGGCCCTCCCTAACCGATGAGCAACAGCAAAAGTGGCACAATGAATCCTATACAAGGCTTGACTTTTCTCTAGTGTTATTCTATCCCAATTCCCAAAAGCTAATCCCAAACACAAAGAGGCAAAGTCACCCTCGTCTCCCAGCCACACGCGATTCCTCTTCCCACCTTTCCCTTTCCTTGGTCCCCCTTTGCTCTGCTCATCCATGGAGACAAACCACTAGCCCCCAAATCTCCTAAATCTTTCTAGTTGCTCTCTCCTGTAGTTGTTGCAGCGCCGCCGGCCGGCTGGACGACTCATCTTTCTTCAAGCCGCTGCAAGCACACAAGAAGAGGTACATATTCTTGATTTGAGATCCCTCTTTCTCTATCTCTCAGATCTGAAATTTGTTCTATAATTTTTGTTTGGCTTTTCAATTCTCTAAATTGGATAGTCTTATAGTGGTCTGTTTTTAATTTTTCTAGGGTAATCGGTTGTCTCCACGGCCAAAAATAAAAGAAAGCTTGCAACACTACATTCTTTTTTTGAGAAGAAAAGAAGAACTGATGATGTTCCAGAACAGATTAATTTGGTTGATGCCCCTCCCTTGGTAGATGAAGAAGAGCAAGTAGATGAACAAGAACAAGTAGAAGAAACTCCAATATCAACAACACCACCTCAGGTTATGAGAGGGAGAGGCAATGATGATTCTACTATTTTGGTGGTCGAAAGAGAACCAGGTCTGCGGTGCCAAATTTCAGATTATCCTCCTAACGATCAAGAAAAAGCTCGAATGGCACATATAAAGCATGGGGCATATCATTTTAAAATGGATGAGTATCCTCCTGATGAGTCGGTGACCCATCCACGCAAGTTTCAGTATCATTGGTTTAAGAGCTTCCCTTGGTTAAAATATTCGCCGGATAAAGATGCAGTCTACTGTTTTCCATGCTTTTTATTTTGTAAGAAGCCACTTGGAAAGAAAGGATCTGATGTGTTTACAGTGAAAGGATTCAAAAAATGGAAGAGAGTTAATGACGGAGAGAGATGTGCATTCTTAACTCACATGGGAAAGGACAGTAAATCTGCTCATAATTATGCTGCAAAATGTTATGATAATCTGAAGAATAAGCCATGTCATATGGAACCATTAGTGGTGAAGCAAACAGATTGGGATATCAAAAGGAATAGGCTGCGGCTTAGAGTAACCGTTGATTCACTACGGTGGCTAGCATTCCAAGGTTGCCCCTTCCGAGGACATGATGAAAGTCTTGATTTGAAGAACCAAGGTAATTTCCTTGAAATGGTGAAATTGATAGCTTCTTATGATGAGGAAATTGGTGCTGTAGTGTTGGGTAATGCTCCAGGCAATGCTAAGTACACATCACCTACAATTCAAAAAGAACTTCTAGGTATCATTGCTTCTAAGGTGCAAAGTGAAATCCGTAAAAAAATAGGAGATGCTAAGTTCTGCTTACTTGTTGACGAGTCAAGAGATGAATCCAAAAGAGAGCAAATGGCAGTAGTTATTCGTTTTGTTGATAAACCTGGTTCCACTCGTGAGCGTTTTCTTGATATTGTTCATGTTGCTGATACATCTTCGGCTACTCTAAAAGAAGAGATATCTTCTGTTTTGGTTCAACATCAGTTAGATGTGAACAATATTCGTGGCCAAGGATACGATGGTGCTAGTAACATGTGTGGAGAGTGGAATGGACTACAAGCAAAGTTCATGGAGGAGTGTCCTTATGCATATTATATCCATTGTTTTGCTCATCAGTTGCAGCTAGCTCTTGTTGCTGCATCAAAAGAAGTAGCCGATGTTCACAACTTTTTTGATCATCTTGCTCTTGTTATCAATACGGTTGTGTCTCCTAGTAAGAGACATGATGAGTTGCAAGCAAATTAAGTTGCTGAAATGGAGCATTTGATTGAGCTTGGTGAGCTTGAAACTGGAAGTGGAGCTAATCAAGTCGGAACTTTACAACGGCCTTGTGATACTAGGTGGAGTTCACACTATGCTTCTGTTTGCAGCCTTGTGAAATTGTACAAACCAACATTTTTGGTACTTAAAAGCATTGCAACTTCTAAAGGATTTGGTACTTCACCTTCCAGACGAGCAAAGGCTTCTGGTGCTGTTAAGTTGATGATGTCTTTTGACTTCATATTTATTCTGCATGTCATGAAAGAACTTATGGGAATCATGGACATGCTATGCAAAAAGTTGCAACAAAAGTCTCAAGATATTGTGAATGCCATGGATGATGTTAAGACTACCAAAATGTTGATCCAGGAGCTAAGAGATAATGGTTGGAACAAGCTTAAAGCTGACGTGCTTTCATTCTGTGCCAAACACGGAGTTCAAACACCACATTTGAGTGAGTTATATGTGGATTTCATTAATTCTCGTGCGGAGGATGAGACTACAGTTGAGCACCATTATCGCTGTGACATTTTCATGGTTGCTGTTGATCAGCAAGCACAAGAGCTGAATTGTAGACTCAACAAACAAGCAACAGAGCTTCTCATCCTCTGTACTCCCTTGGACCCAAAAGATTCATTCCGTTCATTTAACATAGATAATATATGTTCTCTGGCTTCAAAGTTCTATCCTGCTGATTTTAAAGAACAAGAAATGAATAATCTAAGATGTCAGTTACGACATTATGAGAATGTTGTACCCACAAGCCCAAAGTTTTAGAATTTGACAACTATATCAGAACTTTGTCAACGACTTGCATCTAGTGGAAAATCAGATGAATATTACTTGATTGACAGGTATCTAATGTTCTCTGTTCCTGTATTGGTTGATTTATTCATTGCTAAAAATTCCAACTACTTCTTAATGTACAGACTCATTCGGCTTGTTCTTACTTTACCGGTTTCAACGACAACGACAGAACGTGCATTTTCTATCATGAAACTTGTGAAGACAAGGCTTCGGAATAAAATGGAAGATGGATTTCTAAGGGATTGCTTGCTAATTTATATTGAAAAGGATATTGCTGTTGGAATATCAACAGATGCAATTACAGATGAGTTCGATGAACCACCACGTCGAGTGCCATTTAGTTGAAGGCCTGGAGCAAGTTAGTTTCTCTATCTTCTATTATCTAGATTTTTCTTTTGTGTGATGTACAATTGAAAATTTGCATATCCTCTTGTATCAACGGTGAATGGTGGTGATCAATGAAAAATATTATGCTATTACATCTGCTTCACTGTTTTTTTGATAAAAAATTTGTACGGAAGTGTTGCTGCCTTCAGTGGGCCCGTGTTATACATTTTTCCTGGCTCCGCCACTGAGTGCGTACAATGGTAAATAACCTGCATAGGAGCAGATGTTTTGCTATTAAAAACACAATCGTTTCTACATAGTCAAAGCCACCATAATAAGGCCGACGCACCCACCCGTATTAGTATACTAAAAGTATTTGGTATACCGTCAAGACAGTGTCCATATATATTGGCAACACTTATGGGCGGATACAAATTGGACGCTATTTGAATGACTAACCATATAGAACGTGTAAACTTGCATTGAAAGAAGAGGTGTTTAATTGTCTCGTCATGAGTACAAAAACTACACTTCTTAATTCCTTGCCAGTCGAGCGAAGTTGTCTTTTGTTAGCACAACTCCTCTTCAAAGATACCACATGAAAATCCTAATTTTTAGTGGCATCTTTAAATTCCAGATTAGTATATTATTATTGACGGGAATCTCTGAATGCGAGAGTACACGGTATAGAGTCAACTGTGAAGAATTCTGATGTAGTAAGATTGCAACGAAACACATCCTGCTTTTGTGTCAAGTTAATCGTATCTAAATGGGATAAAAGAGAAGCAATACACAGTTTAACCCGTTATATATGATTTAGATTTATTGTCTAAAGAAATGATTTTGCTTTAGATGATGGTCGCCATATTTCCCGCATTCCATAATGTAGTGCGCCCGCGCTTTCCAATGTCCAAGTTTGACCGTAAATTAAACCTACAAGACCGACTGAGGCGGGGACACAAATTATATCATTGAATTCAGATTGAAAATACTAATTCAATGGTACTCCCTCCGTCCGGAAATACTTGTCCTCGAAATGGATAAAATGAATGTATCTATAACTAAAATAAGTCTAGATACAACCATTTCGAGGACAAGTATTTCCGGACGGAGGGAGTATAATATTTGCCCTCGCTGCAGCTGGTCTCAATAGTTAAATTTACGGTCAAACTTAAATCTCAGAAAACGCGGGTGCACTACATTGTGCAATGGAGGGAGTACTTTGCTTCTTCAGCCTCATGATGTAATTCCGTGTAAGTACCTGTTAGCATTATCCATCAGTTAAGTTGGTGAATATGAAAAATCCATAAGCTATGGTACGCCGTTGGCGCACTCTAAAAAAAATGAAAATCCATGGTGTTGTTCGCATGCACCGAAAACATATCTTGCCGGTGCGGAGAGAGCTGGAATCTGCTGTGTGTGATGGCCGGCGTTCACCTCGATTAAATTAGTAGCGGGCACGCAAGGCAAGCGGAGCTGAAGACGCTTCTTCCAAATTCTTTGCGGTGGTGAGTGCCTCCACCTCCATCCGATACCTTGCCGTGCAGCCTCCCGGGAGGTAGATGCCGACGAACGTCTCGTCCTCTCCCCCGTCGTTCTTGCCCCGCATCAGGAAGCTGGCGCCGCCGCGGTGGGCGTCCGCGATGACGCCGGCGTAGACGGGCTTTCCCCACCCGAACTCGGCCTCGTCGAATCCGGCATGGCTCACGTCCGACACGCCGAAGGAGCGCGTCCTCGCGATCACGGGACGGCCCTCCAGCACCATCAGGTCAGCCACCGACCGCATGTACTCGTACGTCACCCTCGCCTTGGCCTCCCTGATCAGCTCCACCGCGTAGCCCAGGCCACGGCCGCACAGCTCCCCGGCGGCGCAGCGCGCCACCACGAAGACGAACGCGTTGCCGTAGTAGCCGGAGGGTATTTCGCCGCCGAACGCGTCCGTGCGCCGGCCGCGCGCGTTCACGGCCATCATCAGCCGCACCTCGTCCCCGGGCTCGTAACCGAGCGCCGCCGTGCGGCTTCTCCACACACAGGCCACCACCAGGTCCAACTGGGACGCCGATGCAGCTCCCGGCGCCAGCCGACCACGCAGCGCGGCGATAGCGTCGGGCCCGAAGGAGAACTGGACGCGCGCCATGTCGTCCGGTGGCGTGGACTCGAACCGGTCGCGCCCGTCTGCTGGCTCCCGGTACTCGTGGTGAGCGAAGGAAGGGCGAGGTGGCAGCCGCGCGTTGATGATCTCCCTGGCCCAGACCGGCGGCACGGACGGCGTGCCGGCGCCGCGAGCGAGCTCTCCTACTGCCTTCCAGAACTGCGCCAAGCCGGGGCCGTCGCAGATGCAGTGAGCGTTCTGCTGGGACACGGTGAAGCCTCCGCACTTGAGGCGAGTCACCTGGACAAACATCAAGGGCTTGTCGATGATTGCGGGCAAGGATAGCGGCACGCCGGCCGGGGGCGCTCTGTAGACATGATCGTCGTAGATGAACTTCTCGGAGCGCGGGAACGGCGGGTACCGCACGTCACCGAGATCGTCGACGGCGATGTTGGCGTCCGCCTCCGCGAACACGATGCCCTGCCCGGCGCAGTCCACAAGCAGCTTCCCGCCTGCTTCCGCGCGCAGCCGGCCGGCCAGCGGGTAGTAATGCACCAGCGCCTCCGCCAGCGCGGCTCGCACCGCCGCCGCCGGGTCAATGAATCGCTTGGAAGGGTGGCCTCGGTAGAGGTGGATCATTGTGGTGTAGCACCGCAACACCGCCTGGTCGTCGATGTCCGACAGCGGCTTGCTCTCCCGCGGCGTTAGCCGCGCCGGCGCCAACAGCGATGCCGTGCCCCGGCGCACCGACAGCTCACCATCTAGCACGGTCCTAGCCATATTTCTATATGAATCTCGATCGGTCAAAACCTCTTGTGAGATGGATATGGAGGAACAAACTAGTAGCAGTAGAGTAGTGCTATTGCTGCCTGTCACCCATCGATCGATGTTCCGTATAGCTCTATTTATAATGCAGCAATAACACAGCACAGTTTGACCAATCATAGTTATTGTTGTTGTAATTGTTGGATTTCATGTTATAATTTTTATTTTATTTTGTGGAGGAATTTCATGACATTAGAAATTCCAAATTAGATTGCGTTATTTTAGTAGAGCACTTAAATGCATCAAAAGTACAGTGATGCTTAGGCACTTCCCCAAACGTTTCACGGTGCTAAAAATAACACATAGAGGATGCTTGATACGTTTTAGTCTCATGACTAAAAGTAGTGGGACTAAAACTTGCTAGCCTCACCCATGTTTGGATCCAAATACTAAAGAGACTAAAATCAAGTTATTGAGCATTTATTATCCTCAAAACCCTCCAATCCAGAACTCGCATGTGTTAAAGGAGAGACATTAAATGATGAGAGGGAGGGCTAATACATATTTTAGTAGGTTTCCTATGACTAAAAAATTTTAGCCTCAAAACTACTCCTAGCCTCTCTTTAGTCAGGGGTGCTTGGAACTTTAGCCTCTAAAAAAGACTATTTTTAGTCAGACTAAAAATAGTCCTTTGGATCCAAGCACCCTCATAGACAAAAAGATGACATGGCAAAGTAATTAAGACGAAGAGAGATCACTTTGCTAACCCAGAAAGAACGAGTCCAAACATATGGACCTACATAACAGATTTTGGTTGCTAAAAAATTAAATAAAGAAAGTTGATAAGCTCTTTCATACAATTATCACCTATAAATTGAAGAGTTTTATTGCTAGGCTGTTTCAGACATCGAGCACCTCATCTAAACACTATATATATGCATGATATATGCTTATAGTACGTATGACCAACCTATTGCCGCAAATGATTCCAAGAATTAGCTTTGATAATAGAGAGCACTAGCTCACAAATAGTACTCTCTTCGTATCATAATGTAAGACATTTTTAACACTAGTGTAATGTTAAAAAACATCTTACATTATGGGATGAAGGGAGTACATGTTAACCTCCCCTTCCGTATTCATGCGGTAACCATGCATGGTGGCAGATTAGATTAATTGGTCTAGCCTGCAGTTGACATTTAGGAGCAAGAAGACTTGTGGATTGATCAAGGTCCTGCTAATTAATTAAGGAAGCCTGCAGGTCAAGTGGCATCATCTCATCTTGGCTGTACTTTAGCTAGCTATGACAAGACTTTTTGGGAATGGATCGAGGTCCTAATATTATTAAGATGCTCATCGACCGGTAGCCCTTTGTTCACAAATGTGCCACTAGGACGTTGTCACATGAAGTTTATAGCATAGCAAAACCTCCGTCGTGCTAGCATCATAAGAATATTATATGCATTGCCACCCAAGTAAAAATATGATATGGTACTATAACTAATATGTAAGAGCATCTCCAGCCGTTGGCCCACAGGGGCTCGAAAAATCGCCGTATAAGGGCGAACCGGCGCTAAAAATCGGCTTGGGGTGAGCGGGTTCCCAGCCGCCATCCCCCAAGGTCGCCCCCAATTGCCCTTTTTGAAGATTTTTGAAAATAAATTCAGCTAAATTTGGCAAACATTACAAAATTTTGGCAAACAGGACATAAATTTTGGCGTTCTACTTCTTTTACATAGAGAATGAAAATTACTAAATAAAAAACTCGCTGAGCGCGGCATAGTCGCCGTCGTCGCCGCCGCCGCCTCCGTCGTCCTTCTCCTTCTTCACGCCGTTGGTCGACTCCTGCTCGGGGTCGCCAAGGCGGACAGGTTTGGCAGGTGGCGGCGCGTCGTCATCGCTGTCTTCAAGCACGATGATGCCCCTTTCGTCGCGCCCGCGGCGGCGCACGGCGATGTCTGTGAGGGCGCGACACTGGCGCTCCATCTCCACCCGCGCCCAATCTTCCCGCGCCCACTTCATGGTCGCCACGTCGCCGAGTTCCGGTTCCGTCTTCACGGCGGCGAGCCCCAGTGTCGGTGTCAAAATCGGCAGATCTCGGGTAGGGGGCCCAAGCTGTGAGTCTAAGGATCAATGGTAGCAAGGGACAATGAGGACACGGTGTTTACCCAGGTTCAGGCCCTCTTAAAGGAGGTAAAACCCTATGTGCTGCTTGATTGTATTCGATGAGTATAGGGGTTATAAGAGTTGATCTACATCGAGATCGTAATGGCTAAACCCTATTTGTCTAACCTATGATTGTTCTGATAGCCTCTACGGACTAAACCCTCCGGTTTATGTACACACCAGAGGGGCCTAAGATTGTACAGAGTCGGTTTGTAGAGAAAGGAAATAGTACATCCGGACACCAAACTTGCCGTCTACGCATATAGGAGTCCTATCCAGACACTGGGGATAGTCTTCTGTTTTATCTTCACGACCCATCAGTCCGACCCATATCGAATAGACCAGACACCCGAGGACCCCCTAATCCAGGACTCCCTCAATAGCCCCCCAACTTGCCTTCAATGACGATGTAGTATCTGGCTTATGTCTTCGCCTTTGCAAGACGGGTTATTCATCATACTCCAGATTGACGACAACCCGGTTTTGACCTCTATGCTTTGCCTTTATGATTCCTTCCTGTCATCGCCTCGATTTCCATGTGCCGAACGAATGTGAATGGTCCATAATATTTTACAAATAAACCCCTTATTATGCAAGGGCGGCATTTATATAAGGAGGTTTGACCTCCCAATGACATCCCATATCACGCAAAGAGCATCAGAGCAAACCACGAAAAAACTTCAAAACATGGCGAGCGCTCCTGGCTCTTCCTCGCGCATTCATGGCCCTCAAGCGGGAGATTGGCGAAGCTGCTCAGTGTCTCACCTCCAGCTGAATCGACGTCAGATGCAGGGATATCTCCCTCCCGCAGATCTAGTCTCCGTGCGGGCGGGATTGGCCTCAATTGGCAATGATGTGTTAGTAGAGAATTTTCCCTACCCCAACAAGGAGGAGAGGGTGTGCTTCGTCTCGTTTCTTCTGAGGGGCTTAGGATTCCCGATTCACCCCTTTCTCAGAGGTTTCGTGGTGCGGTAAGGAAGGGCGCGGTGGCCGTCGAGCGTTGAAGATCTCCCTGGCCCAGACAGGCGGCACGGACAGCGTGTCGACGCCGCGGGCTAGCTCGCCGATCGCCTTCCAGAACCGCGCCAAGCCAGGGCCGTCGCAGATGCAGTGAGCGTTCTGCTGAGACACGGTGAAGCCTCCGCACTTGAGGCGAGTCATCTGGACAAACATCAAGGGCTGGTCGAAAATTGCGGGCAGGGATAGCGGCACGCCGGCCGGGGGCACTCTGTAGACATGATCATCGTAGGTGAAATTCTCGGAGCGCGGGAACGGCGGGTACCACACGTCACTGAGATCGTCGACGGCGATGTTGGTGTCCACCTCCGCGAACACGCACTAGTAGAAAACAGGGCTTTGGTCCAGGCCGGGTCAGCCCATTAGTCCCGGTTCAGTCCAGAACCGGGACCAATGTGGGCATTGGTCCTGGTTCGTGAGCCCAGGGGGCCGGCCGGGCCACGTGGGCCATTGGTCCCGGTTCATCTGGACCTTTTGGTCCCGGTTGGTGGGATGAACCGGGACCAATAGGCCTCGCTCCTGGCCCACCATCATTGGTCCCGGTTGGTGGCTTGAACCGGGACCAAAGGCTCCCCTTTAGTCCCGGCTCATGTCACCAACCGGGACCAATGAGGTGCCTATATATACCCCTCGCTCGCGAGCAGAGCACCCCAGTGCTCTGTTTTTCTCTGGCCGAGGGGGAGAGGGCTTTGTGGTGCTCTAGCTCACCTCCTATGCACATGAGGTGTTCGATGGAATGCCCGAGCCACACTACTTAAGCTTTCTCCTCTCGAAGCTCGACCTCCAAGCTCCATTTTCCTCGAGATTTGTCTAGATTTAGAGGTCTGTCACGCCCCGTCCCCGTCTTCACCGCCGCCGATCACCCGCGCCGATCTCATTACCGACACCACCGTGGTGAGCCTCTTGTTCTTATCTTCTTTCTGAAGGAAAAATTATTCTTACTTGTATGTTTAGATAGATACTTGTATCATTTTCTTACTTTTATTATTGCATCTTATATAGTGCGATGGTTTTGGTATCCGCCCCCGTCGGCCCTCGTCCTGTCTATGATTCGGATGTGGTATGTATATTATCTTTATAACTATTGGTTCATTTATTGTTTATGAAAATTATGCCGACCAACGTGACATAGATTTTATTTATCTAGGATGTATGTGAATCGGAAATGCCAACCGACCCTATTGTCGAGAGGTTAAATTTAGTTGAAGAAGAAAACAATTTGTTGAAGGAAAAATAAAAAAAAATTGAGGAGGAGAAGATGATATTGGAGTTGCATGTTGCGGATGTCGTCGATGATCACAAGATCAAGATGGATGCAATGCGCTTGAAGATTAGAAAGATTAGAAAATATGCCATTCATACCGAGGCTTGGTATCATTATGCCGTTGGATCAATTGTTACCTTGGTTGCGATTATGATCGCATTTGTTTTCGCATTGAAATGTTTTACATAGTTTCAATGTATGGTTTAATTAATTAGATGCTCTGGATAGCTATATGTTGTTAGATGAGAACTATGTATGCACTTTGGTTTTAATGCGATGATGAACTTCTATTAATTTGGACACTTAATTATATATAATGCACGCAGATGAACCGACAATGGATGTACGGTGACAGACACACCCGCGAGTACATTAAGGGCGTGCATGAGTTTCTCGATGCGGCTGAGGCAAACAAGCAGAATGGTTTTATGTGTTGTCCATGCACTGAATGTGGGAATACGAGGTCTTATTCTAACCGGAAAATCCTTCACTCCCACCTGCTTTACAAGGGTTTCATGCCACACTAATGTTTGGACAAGGCACGGAGAAATATGGGTTATGATGGAAGATGGCGACGAAGAAGACTACGATGACAACTATGTGCTCCCTGAATACGGTGATGCTGCAACGGGGGGAGCTGGTGAAGATCAAGAGGAACCAGACGATGTGCCCGATGATGATAATCTCCACCGGGTCATTGTCGATGCAAGGACGCAATGCGAAAGTCAAAAGG